TACTATTATTATTATTATTATTATTATTATTATTATTATTATTATTATTATTATTATTTATTATTATTATTCAGACAAGTCAGCCATCAACAGGCACGTAGAGTTAAACAACATCTACATACTATTCAAAAGAGGCAATAAAAGGAAACAAAAGACCAGAATGCCTCCTCACCAGCAATCATACCAGACAATCAAGCAGTAAACAATACTCTAATCAAGGAACTACTAGGAGAAGAACCCCCTACCTAACACTGGCAGGGCAAGCCACTGTATATAAACAGAAAGCAAACCCCATTCCATTCTAGCACTGAAGATGCTACCTAGCCAGGTAATGAAACGTTTGCAAGAAAACAACCAAGCTCAGGGAACCCCAAGGACTCCACAGTTGAACCCTGAGCTACATACTGTATATTCTCTTCTATTGTTAAGCTCTGGTTTTTCAAATTCACACTTGTGAACTAGCAATAAAATTTAAAATTACTGTCTCTCTTCTTGAGGCCAACAAAATAAGGTTCAGGCTTTTTCCAAAGTTGAATATTCAGATATGAAGCAGCTCAGATAGACCTTGAACAAGTTCTACAAGACCATTTTTAACTTTTACAGGATACCATTCATTCTGCTTGTTATTTTAGTTCTAAATCACAAAACCAATCTTTCATCAGCATTCCATAAATAAAACAAAATACATATATACACATACTTGGCTTATGTGAACTGGAGTTAATATCCAATCGAGAACACCAGACCATCCTGAGAAAACACCCACTGGTATTGCATAGGCCAGAGCAATCATCAGAAACCGGGGGTTACTAGAAAGTAAAAGAAAGAATAGAAACAGGTTTGCCAACAGTAAGAAATCAAATTTCAGTGCAATACTTTCCTCCTCCTATGAATCCTCAAGGACACAACAGGCACTAAATTAGGCAGCATAAAGTTAGTTGGTGAAACTTTGCTTTATTTATCTGGAGCTACGATGCAGTATTCATATTTAAATAACGTTCTCTTTCTGGCAACACTGAGTGATATATGTAGATTTTCCTGGAGGCTACAAGTGGATAGTACAGCATTCTAACAGGCAATTTAGTCTAAATGATCTTTGGCTCGCTTCAGGAACATGACTGTGAACAATTAAAGGATATCTGCTGAGGCAAAACCAATTAATACAATATTTTGTTGTTTTACTTAATGTTGCTATTGTCAGGCTCTTTTCAGTTATAATATTTGAGAAGGATTGACCACATTTCAGAGATATGAACTGTAAAATATGTTTCTCCTTCAAACTTTAAGTTCAGCTTCTGTTTTGTTTTATGGTCGACAGAATTTACATCAGCTTTTTACTGAAATATCTGAGTACTACCACATGTAGAAACAGTGAGAACCAGTCCAGTAACTGATAAAAGCTGTGCATTCAAACAACATTTTTCAATTTCATTTACTGTTTATGTGACACACACATCTCAGTACTTTAATTGTACGTCAGCCGGAACAGAAAATGAAGAATAAACTCCTGCCTGCTGTTCCATTTGTATTCCCTCTCTGAGAGGCTCTTCCTTACAATCACCCATGAAATATGGACTGTGATATAGTTGGGCGATGGTATCAGGTAGCATTTTGCTCTCCTTCTTTACTTCACCCTCCTGTAGATTCATAGCTTGCAAGGCACACTGTCAGGAGGGTGCTTGCTCTAAAAGGCAAACTGGTTGAATATCCGAGTTGGGGTTCCAAAGTAATTATTTGTGTGTAAATCTGTGGCCTTTCAGGCAGAGCAAGGATACAATATGCCACAACTTATTAAATGTCTGGAAAAGGCATCCACATGGAGGGAACAAATTTAAAGAGACTGCACACAGATAAACTATGCTTCCCCTCCAGTAATCTGATCTCAACATGTAATTTTAATGGTTGTACAACATAACCCCTCCCCTTGTTGTTCCCTGTATTTGGATATGGTGCAAAATTTAAAAATCAGCCTTACACTAGACACACATAAGCCACAAATATTTCATCCATTTGATATATATATATATAAACTGAGCTCAGAATTCATCATGCTACAAGGAAGTGAAGGAAAAATGTGCAATGTTTCAGGAGTACAAACATAATATGTACTTCCACCCAGATTCAAATATTTTATATTTGGTGCATACAGAGATTAATGATGATGATGACGAGTCATCATGTTATTGTTAATTCTTAGCAACTACATAGACAGACCTTCTCCAACCTAGCCCTTTGAGTCTTCCAACAGTACAGCCATCACTGTTGTAATTGAGTCTATCCACTTTGCTGGTAATCATCCTCTTTTTCTCTTCCATCTTTCCCAGCACTATAAGCTACTCAAGAGAACTGTCTTCACATAATGTGTCCGAAGTATGATAGTTTAAGCCTGGGTATTTATGCCTCAAGTGAGAACATTGGATTCATTTTCTTGGCTATCCATGGTATCCTCATGAGTCTTCTCCAACACCAACATTCAAAAGTGTCAATGCTCTTTCTATCCTGCTTCTTCAAAGTCCAACTTTTGCTTCCATAGAGTATCACAAGGAAAACCAATGCTTGCATGATTCTGCATGATCTGTACGTATAGACACACCATGGCATCTGAATATCTTTCCCAATGCTTTCGTGGCTATTCTACCAAGTGCTAATCCATGGTTTATTTCTTGACAGCTGGTTCCTTTACTGTTGATAGTCAGTTCTAAAAAGCAGAAGCTATCCAGCATTTCAATAACTATTCTCAGTTTTAGAGGTGGTTGCTGTACCTGTTGTCATTAGGTTAGTCTTCTTTATATTGAATCTTAGTCTTCTTTTTTCACTTTCATTACTAGAGCTTGAAGATCATTTGCATTTTCATGTATCAGAATACAGTTGTGTCATTAACATAGTGCAGATTATTGATGTTTCTTCCTCTAATTTTAAAACCATTCTCAACTTCTTCCAATACAATTTCCTCAATATATATTCAGCATATTGGTTAAATAAATATGAAGAAAATACACAGCCTTGTCTCGCTCCTTTGCTGACCTAGAGACAGTCCTTTTCACCATATTCTGTCTGGACTGTGGCTTCCTGACCTGTATGTATATAGACTGACCTCTTCTAATTTGTTGCCCACAGTGTAAGTGGGTTCTTTTAGAACTGGAGGTTCATTTTGATTTGCAAGGATGGCAATTGACACAGAGAAACTAAGACAGTGGAGGATTTCATGTTTTTTTACTATATGCAAGGAAAACTATTTACAACGGGTATATACAACATGATCCCAACTTTTACCTGGTGTCAGGTTTCCCCTTAAATCTCTCTCCCAGAGACTGCTGTAGCTCTCCTGCTAACTGCTTCACTTCCACTGTCCCCCATTTCTGGGCTTATCAGGAGAGTGAAAAAAAAAATGTGCTGGATTTACGGCTAGTGTGCTCAGCACCGCTTGTCCCCTTTCTTTCTTAGATCTGCTCAGCCATCTCCTTTGTTGGGAGAAGAACCTCTCTTAGGGTCTTTTGCTCAGTCCTTCCCCAGAGACCAGAGCTTTGCCAGTGACAGCCGTCTCCCTCCTTCCCATCTTGGGTCTTGTGTGAAGTGGCTGAACATAACAGCTGATTCCTTCCTTCCCATCTTGGGTCTTAGGTATACATGCTGTCTCTCTGGGACTTCTCTTCTTACAGGGAAGCTACCCATGCTCTTCTTCTCCCATTTCACCAGGAACCAACAACTGTTCTTCACACTCACACAACTTTACTCTCCAACTTTTCTCTCCAGCCACACCATTTTACACAGTCTTTTCTCTCCTTCTGTCTCTCTCCAATTTTGGGTCAGTCTGGCAGCATATTGCCCAGCAACTGAGTGTCCCTCCAGGGCTCTAGTCCCCAACACCTATATACAAGGCTGGACCAATGGGACTGCTGTATCTACATCTCTACACAACAGCCCTGGCTAGCAGCCAGGTGAGCTCATCAGCCCTCATGACAGTACAGCTGCACTTCAAGGCTAGAACTGAGCTTCTTCTCCCCTTTCTCTATTTGCTGACTTATACCAGCATAACTGCAGCCATGCCAGGCCACTAAAACCCATATGGCATATATTGCTCTTCAGATTTGCTAGCATAGCTTGCTTATGTTCTTCACTGTTTCTTCTTCTGTTTGCCATATTTCTGTAGATATTCCATCAATTCCTGTAGCCTTCCAACTTGATAATAATTGGAGTGCTAATCTAACTTCATCTTCTAGTAGTAGAGGTTCTTGTAGGTAGGGAATATCTTCTAAGATATCTTGGATGTTAACCTCTGTACTATACAGAATCTCAGTATACTCTTTCCATCTTCTTTAATCTTCTTTGAATAAGTTATTATCTGACTATTGGCACATTTTAGCATACCAATTCAAGGTTGGAAACTGCTTCTGAGTTTGGAGATTTTTTGGAAGACTATCCTTGTTTTTACATGTCTGTTTTCATCTTCAATGCCTTGACAGATGTGGTTGTTAATACTGCTTCTTGTGTCTTCTAACAGCTCTCTGAAAGTCTTTGTTAAGTTCTTTCCTGAGATCTTTGGCTTTAGTTTCTCTTCTCTTCTTGGCAATTTCCACTGTTAGTTCTGATACCCAGTTTGTTTCCTTCTGTTTCTTGGCCTCAGTTCTTTTCATATTCACCCTTACCAAGTTCTTTAAATTCATTCAATAGTTCCTCTGGTTCTCTATCAATGAGGTTCAGGACTTCAAAGCGATTCCTGATGTTCTGCTTGAAAATTGTGTATATATGGTCAAGATGATATTGTGGGAACTGGCTGGCTTTTTTCTTCACCTTTAGCTTGACTTGAATCTTGCACATGAGCAGTTTGTTGCACAGTCAGCCCCTGGCCACGTCTTTACTGTTTCAACTGAGCTCTTCTACCTCCTTATCTAATAATATTGCAAATTTGATTTCTATCTATTCCATCTGGCAATATTCATGTATACAGACGTTGTTTTGGTTGTTGGAAGACTATGTTAGCAATGAAAAGATAATTGGATTGGCAGAAATTGATAAGTCCTTTTTCTGCCTCATTTTGGTTTCCTAAGCCAAACAGTCCAAATACGTTTTTCTCCTTAATATTTCCCACTCTCGCATTCCAGTCTCTAACCAACTGCTTGCATGTTCTGCCTATTTCAAACTGAACTTGATCACAAAACTTGTCAAACTTCTTTTCTTCTACATCAGTGGTTGGAGCATAAACTTGGATAATGAAGTATAACTAAAATTATTTGACCATTGATTACATTGTACCCAATTACTGTATTTGTTACATACTCCTTATGAAAGAAATGCCACTCATTTTTGTGTGTGTGTGTGTGTCCTGAGTAGTAAACAATATGATCTTCTGACTGAAAGTGTCCATTTCCAGACCATTTCAATTCACTGATGTCTAATATGTCAATGTCTAGTGGATTCATTTCATCTTTCACTGTGCTGAGCTTTCCCATGCTCATACTTCTCACATTCCATGTTCCTATTGTAATTCAGTTGTTGCAACTTCAGACTTTCTTTTCCTGCATGACAACATTAGTTGTCCCAAAGCCTTTAACCTGGCCACATTATAAACACCATTAATACTCCAAAGGATTCTCAGCTCTTCATCAATAGCATATTAAGAGCCATCCAGCCAGAGTGCCCTATCATCCGGCACTATATCATCAATCACTTTATATTGTCTATCCTTGTGGTTTTCTTGGTAAAATATAGGAGTGGTTTACCACTGCATTCTCCTACACAGTATGAAATGATATACTGGCCACTATTATTACACTGATCATCCTCCACTGGTATATTCTTATACTGCAGC